GCTTAGACAGAAACCGAAGGACAACTTAGATACCTAGATGTTTTTGTATATTCCAAGTTCTGTATGTTGCATTATAACCTCTTGGGTGTTCTGGTTCTCATAATATGTAGCATTGGAAAATATTATAATATTAATCATTTGTTTTCTCTGACTAGTTAAAAAAAAAGAATACATTTGACCTCCACACAAAGTATGCCCCTGGTCGCAAATCATTTATTTTCAAGAAAATTTCAAACCTAACAGCAAAATCTCAAATTATCGGTTAAAACAGGCCCGTATGCCCCCCCCCCCCAAAAAAAGAGCCAGCAAAAACCAACTAGAGAACAAAACAACAAATAAACAATACAAACAAATTTTTAAAAATATACAGGTTTTTGAAATGTAAATTAATGCCAAAATGTTCATTGTTAATTAGTTAACCTTCATGGACACAATAATATGATAGCCGGCATTAAATCATTTCCATTTCCGTGTACATACAATATATATGTAACAGAACAAAGTCGTGCATAGTGTATCTCCTTTAACTGGTCATGATTGACAGCTGGGTTCTTTTGCCAGTTTTTTTGTTGTTGTTTCCATAGATGTGAATTATTTATTCCGGTCTTCTAAATCAAGGCAGCGTTTACGGGCCTTCATGTAACCCCTGCTCAATAGGGTTGTGCCAGGAGAGCGAGGGGAATGTTATGAACAAAGAGATGATTCATCGCTGTGTGTTTGTGATTTAGCATTCTTAACCTTGCTAGTTGCCTGTCACGGACAAGGCATCTTTAGGACTTGGGATTTATTGTAATAAAGATCTGGTTTTCTTCTGCGCTAATGAAGGGTTAGTTAGAGTTAGTGTGACATGTGAACGTCATAAAAGAGTGCCTGAAGTGAAGCTCACGGTGATTCCGTCTTGTCACAAACGTAAACTGTAGGTTATTAAAATAAATATTATTGTTAATTTGTTTGTCGTTGGAAGACTGCGCGTTGGTTTGTCCATGTGTGTTCGTTCTGATTGATTGACGGAGAAGCTTACATCATTTGCACTCA